TGTGTGTGTGTGTGTGTGTGTGTGTGTGTGTGTGGTATGTGTAACGCGTAAACGTAATCGCTACGTACCGTACAACTTGATCTTCCCGTCGTCGTTCGTTAGTATAATAATGTATCCTCCTAGATCGACCATTTTCGCTAGTAATTATTCTCCGTATACGTAGGGATAGTCCGTTATTAGATTACCTCGCGCGACACTTCGCGCGCGCGCGCGAGCGCGCGCTCAACGTGCACGATAAATCACTAATTACTTTGCACTACGTCGAGTCCGCCCCGAAAAATCAGTCCGCCGTTATTAATGTCGTTAGCACATACCATTTTCCCGGTTTCCTCTTGCATCTTCACTTCATTTTAGTATCGACCTCGTGACCTACTTTGTGGCCGGCTGACAACGATTATATTTTTCGCGCGACATCGAACGCACTTCTCTCTCTCTCTCTCTCCCTCTCCTCCCCCTTTTCTCTCCAATTCGTTTTTCTTCTATTTTTCTCGCTTCCGACTGACTTTCTTTCTCATATACCGTGACGTGCATTTAACCGCACATTCCAATGTACTCGCCGCACTTATCGCGGCGATTGTATCGCGACATCATCGAACGTTGTCGGGATTCTTTCTCTCTGTTTATGTTCTTCTCTCCGCTAAACGGTCACTAAGGCATCTATGCTCCACACGATGGTGGTATAAGAAAATTGCTACTACGACGAAAACTACGATACATGCTCGATAACTCGGAGCCACCTAAGAGATGGACTAAGGAACACATAATTATCTTTACGTTCGCGGTACCTTGTCGATGTCGCGATTTTATTATTATTACGTATTATATCGTTTGTCGTTTCTCTCTCCCTCTTTCTCTCGTTTTTTTCTCTTTTTCCTCTCTCTAAAATCGCGCGCACTTTGACTTTTCTCTTTTTAAATCAATCTCGCGCGGTTCCTCGCGCGGTTGCCGAGAAGGGAGCGAGAGGAAACGAAGCGGCGCCTCCACGGGGCCCGTTATCGCGGGCCCCCCTACATCCTTACGGCGACGTGCTTCACGAGCCACGGCGTGAAGAATAGCGATCGCCGGTTCACAAACCCTCGACGAACCGGAGCGTCTTATTATTGATCACCGCTTCGACTAACGTTTCGTGTGCTGCTTCTGTGCACGCACCACCGGCCATCGTCCCGTCGTCGTCGTTCCGCATCCACCGCATTGGCTCCGCACGGCGTGCCGGAAACACGTATTAGAAACGACCAGCTGCTGCCTCTGCTGGTATTGCCTCTGTTGCAGCTGTTGCTGCTGCCGTTGCTGCTCCTCCGATTCTGCTGTGCGCGCTACCACCCTTCGTACGACCGCACATCGGCGACGATCGTTACGGAGCATCGGACCAATGGTACGGGGCTCGTGCACGACATCCCAGACCTTCCCGGCGGGATTTCCCAGCAACGATCAAGATCATTGCGCGCAAATC